GGAGAAGAGGAAGGGGAAGAAGAAGATAAGAAAAAGAAGAAGAAGAAGAAGAATAAAAAAAAAAGAATAATAATAATAAAAAAAATTGTTGCTTACCTGGCAGTGACGACGACGGGGATCTAGGCAGCAACGAAGATCGTGGCAACGGGGAGGGTCACGGCAGCGGCAAGATCACGGCGGCGACGAAGGTCTCGGCAACGACGAAGATTGCGGTGGCGTCGAAGGTCACGGCGGCGATGGGGGAGCGAACTGCTCCGATACCAGTGTAACGAGCGCAAAGGCAGAGGACGAGGAGGGAGCAGAGGGAGAGAGAGAGTGAGAGCACACACACATACACTCACTCACTCACACGACTGAACTCGACCGGACGCAAACCAGAGGCTGAGGCACAAAGTCGAAGTCTTGGTTTCGAAGGCCAGAGTAGCAGTGAGTCACACTGCACATGAAAACAGCGTCTCAGAACTTGTTCCAAGCTGAATGCAAAACCTGGTACCCGTACTGTACGGGCCACCGGTATAAGTACCGGGTGTCCGGTACAGTACTGGGGGCAAATCTGCAAAGCCCCAAGGGCAGAATTGAAAAATGTGGAATTTGAAAGTGGCGCCCAGTTTGCAGGATGGCGCCAGGTGCCCAGAATCCGACGGTACCGAAAAGGAAGGCGCTGGATGGCGCCAACTGTCCCAGAGATCCGTTGGTAACCAAGGAGGGTTCTGGAAAATCGGGTGCCAGGCAAAAACGAGAAGCAGCACAAGGAAAAAAAAAGAAAAAAAAAAAAGAAAAAAAAGAAAACAGTAGTCCAGGTGGGTGTGAACCCGCAGACCAGGGATCGAGCCCTGCGGGAGTCCGTAACAGGCAAGGGCTCTGTAATTTTGTAGAGAGTTCCCTAATGTGACCGTCTTCTTGGGAGGGTATATCAGCGATGTCCACATGAATCGACTGAGGGTGATTAGACTGTTAGAGTTAGTTACCACTTACCCTGGATTGTTTGGGCAGGTTAGCACACTTATACCCCAGTGTGTAAGGGTTAGTTAGTACTTACTCTCCTGTTTGCAGAGTTTGGTCAAAGCATTGATGTGCATTTAACCAGTTGGCCAGACCTGCTGAGTGAGCTCAAGGAGGCACTGGGCCATTTCTGGCTTATCCAGCGGCCTCCGACCATTTTTCCACTTTTTAAAACAATACTACTCCCGGCGCTCTGAATTTCAGGAACCGTTAGCACTTTCTGACAAAAATCTTCTGGGCCGACTGTTAGCAGCAAAAAGAAAAAAGAAAAAAAGTAAACAAATGCAAAATAAAACCCTACGTCTGCTGCTCCCTGCCTCTCCCTAGGGAAGTCTCTCTCTAGACGTCTGGGTACCATGGGTTTCCGGGTTAGAGCGGGACCGTCATAGTGGAGTGGAGTGGCACAGTGGGTAGTATGTCTAGGTGCGTTCCCCCTCGTGAGTGTCTCGAACCATGGGGGTATAAAGAGGCTCTCAACTCTGGGGTGTGTGTGGGGGGAGGGGTACAGGAACCTTGTGGTAGGTAGGGATGAACGGTTCGGGTTGCTTAATGGGTATTTCACCGTTCGAAGGGAGTATAATCGACTCGCATACAAAAATGGCCTCAAGGGCCACCTACGGTTCGAAGGGAGTATAATCGACTCGCATACATAAATGGCCTCATGGGCCACCTACAGAGATCGCATGGGTAGGTGGGAAGTCACATTGTAGGTAGGACTACTACCTGGGGTAGTCCAAGTAGTTAGAGTCTGCCTGATGACCAGTAGGTGCGAGTCGATGCCTGTATCATGGTTTAGGACAACCTAGCTGGCTGGTCGTCTTTAGGCAGTGTATAGAAATTGGGGTACTCTCATAGCTCCGGCATCAGGGTCCTCGGGCCCACAAGGTAGCAAGCAAGGGTAGGCTATGAGATTGGTATAGGGGCTGGAGGGACTAGGAGAGAGGATGCCGATAAAGCGTAGCTCGAGTAGGACTTGTACTGAGCCTGTCTCCTGAGTAGTGGGTTGGATAGATGGGTTAGAGGTGGGTGTACTGTACATTAATAGGAGGGAGGTAGGCCCTCTACGTCTGTCCGAGGGGGGATCTGCTTGGCACTGCTAAGTTAATGGTTGGAGGACAAATCTGCTTAGAGTGAACCCGCAATACATCCAGTTGGAGGTTGGATCTATAGGGACAGAATCTGATCTTTGGTGGCAAGCTGTATGGTGTGGAAGGGACACGACTTGCAATAGGGCTTAGGGCTCTAAGCCCATAGAGGACTCCGTCTAGGAAGGGTCCAGAGGGCCAAGTGGGTCATTCCGAACTTCAAGTGACTGGACCCCGGAGAGTACTCCCGCGCCTGATACCCTGCCTCTACAACAACCTGGGTGTTTAATTAAAAAAAAAAATTAAAAAAAAAATGCAGAAACTTGAAAAGATGTGAACATTGGCTGCCAGAAGTTGTTTCTCCTTGTTAGTTTCACTTTTCCGTTTCTTAATAATATTTCTCCCGAAGTGATCATGAGCGAATCTATGGACCTGATCTTTTTCAGAGTTTTTTGCCGAAAAATCTGAGTGCTAAACAATTGTCAAAGTTGGCAAACTCAATTTGTTTGGCACCCATTCAATGCTGGTCAGGGATCCTTCGGCCAAACGGAAGAAGGCGTGAGGGTGTTCACTATGTATTCATTCTTGACTTGCCGGTGGAATAGGAACCGGACTTATGCTTCCCAGAATGGACAAGGAGCCAGGACCATAAGGACCTGTTTAAATGTTAAAAAATCAATGAACAAATAAATTTGGCCCCCAGCCGCCGACCCCCTGATGCAGGTCGGCCAACCGCGCCCGCGGCCTGGTCGCATCATGAGAGGTGCACCAGTACTCCAGTTTTGGAGCGCTGGACGGAGTGGTGAATCCCAGGGGCCCTTGGACTATCTGCACTTTATTCAGGGTCGACTGAGCATCACCCCCACTTTTCGTCCACATGTTCCTTAAGAATGGGTTGCCATGGGTGTGCAACCCTCACCGCCTTTTTTATAATATCTGTCAGTAGTGTTGGTGCTGTGCTGTCTCACATGCAACTTGCAACAATGAACGCTGTGCTCATAAGGCTGAGTGCTTCTCCTGCTAGCTGCATGCAGAAGTGGGGAGACATGCGGAGCTGACAAAGTGACTGACATATCATGGCATGCTAATTATTACGTCACTCTCCTCAGACGTAAATCTGATTGACTCAGTCGAGTTCCACTTCCTTTTCCTGCAGCTCTGCTTAAGAAGTTTCTATGTGACTTCTTTTTCAGAGTTGCAATACCAGTTCACTTTCAATGCCATGATGATGTGACTGATTCCTACCTCCTTCCCCCAAATACAACACATGGTCATTATAGCTGCATTTGGGGTATTTTCAGTCTAAATACAGCAATAATGACCGTACGGCGTACGTGGTATTCGGGGGAAGAAGGTAGTTCAGTGCACAGCTGCAGAGTCAAGTGTGGGGCACAAGGATGACCTGCGCACTCGCAGTCAGAGCTGAGTGATGATGACTGTACTCGAGTGTCGAAAGTACAAGATATCGGAAATTATTGACAGAAAAATTAGAACATCTATTTTTCACCGTTATGTCAGTTTCTTACTCCTTTACTTCATGTCATGACAAGTTGACTTGTCTGTTTGTCAGTGTGTGGACTGCAGACTCATTTCTGGAAAACATATTTTGTAATTTTTAGACTTGTCCCCATCACCCACTTTGCCTCTGCATTTCTAACAGAGTGCACTTGGCAGGCCAGCCCAAGCTGAAATTTGTCAAGTTCACTGATTTCCAAGTGGAGCCCAAAGGTCTGCAAGAAAGATGACCCACTATCCACCGTTGGATCCTAGTAGAAAGTATACATAGTTAAAAATTGGTCCTGCGAGGAGGACCCCATTTCCCATTTGGCTGCCAGGCCCATCTAGTCCATTTTCTTTCTCAGGACCAGGCCTTTTGCGAGCAAGAGCCTCAGCAGGTTTTGCAACCAACATACTTGGACTGTGATCTGTCAGTTCTGACAGCCGCCTAGCACCAATAGGGTTGGCCTTTAGGGATAGTTATTTCCAACTGTCTTTGTGCGGTTGTGTGCAAAGCATGGAGTGCAAAGCCGGGGCCTCTCTTTTATAACTCTGGTTTATGCGTCCTAGTCCTTTTGGAGGCAGCTGAAGGCCTGTTCCAGAGGCCTAGCATCTTCCCCGAAGATAATGCACACTCATTATAACGGTATTAGACCGGAAACATAGCCTGTGTACATTGATGATGAGGGTGCATTCTGTTCAGGAGAAGATAGCAGTGGTCGTACCGAATGGCGTTTAGAACCCGTGCCTATTCTGACTCGATAGGCTGTGGGACTATACCTTGCGTATGACACTCTTGCAAGGCAACACCTGGCATCCAATCGTGCTCCCTGTATCATTAGCAGTTGGCACTCCGTATGATGCCGTGATGATGCCTCTATGCCCATACGCTTGCGGGTGGCCGAGGCTAGAACGACGCTGGCCGGTGCCGGGATTGGTTGGGCTGCCCTGACCGGAGTTAGGTGGGGGTTTAGGCCTGGTAGAGAGGTGTGGGGAATTGTCGAGGGTGGAAGGCATTCCAGTGGCGATGGGCGGGTTGCCACTTAGACGATGCTGGGCGGAGCTGGGGCTGATCGCTTCGCTCTGTAACCTAGCAGTTGGGGGATTGCTCTGAGGTGGGTTGCATGACTTTGTAACCCAGCCGTTGGGGGTGTGAGGCCTGGTAGAGGCTAGGTATCAAGGACATGAAGGTTGAAGCAGGATTAGGACTGAGCTGTTGAATGGCATCAAGGTTGTTTGGTTTTCAGTGCTGAAAACCCTTATAGAATAACTCAGGTATTCGAAGTTTAATTCAATAGACGCACGGTTTTCTCAATTGGTTGGTTCATGAGTATAGCAGCTATTCTCAGCCAAAAACAGGCAATGGCCCAGGTATCTTTTTCTGATGGATGTTCTTGTCATTCTCAGCTGAAACTGGGCAATGGCCCCGGTACCTTAACATTGTTCTGTATACTTCTATATGGGACGCTGGGTCCGGTTCCCAGCACGGTACTGGTGGTTTCAATTGTTCCCTTGAAATGGAGGAAGCTGCCCTACACCCATGATCCTTTTGGGGTATTTTTTTTTAGAAACGAAAATGAGAATTAAAAATTGTTAAGTACTGTGGTACTCGGTACTTGATTTACCGCCTGGGACCCCCCATGGCTACGTGAGGAGAAGCTTTTCTTCTAGCGCTGTGCATGCGGCTGCAAGTTTGAGAGGACGGTTGGTACGCCTTGGGTGCTCACACCATTGCTCTTTTTTTCTTTTCTTAAAATGGGAACAATGCTTGATACGTTTCCCCACTCGAAAAACAAATATGCAGCTCGTTTACAGCCGCACTTTTCGGGGATTCGGGTAC